GGTCCATTTCAGGGACAGGTATTCCTTGTTGTGAACAGTTATTCAAAATGGTTAGAGGTAGTACCTGTCCAATCTATGACTACTGCTAGGGTCATCCAGGAACTGCGCCGGCTGTTTGCCACACATGGACTACCGGATGTTATTGTGTCTGACAACGGGGCACAATTCACAGCAGCAGAATTCCAGTCATTGCTTAATGCTAATATGATTAGACACACCACTTTGGCTCCGTTCCGTCCAGCTTCTAATGGCCAGGCCGAACAGATGGTAAGGTCCATCAAAGACTCCCTTAAAAAGACTAAGGGAGACTGGAATCATCGCCTGGCAAACTTTCTTCTATGCCAGCACACAACTCCAAGCACCGCAATGGGATGCAGCCCAGCTGAGCTAAGGTGGGGACGGCTGCTCATGATGAAGCTAGACCGCCTCCACCCTGACAGGATAGCTGCTGAAATGGCGCAACCCAAGCCTCCCCAGAATTTACAGTTGGGTGAGCATGTTTGAGCTAGAAACTATGGGTAGGGGGCACCTTGGATGGCTGCTACAGTTATGAAAGTGTCAGGGCCACTGGACGATGATCGTATGATCTGACGCCACATAGACCAGTTGAGGCGTCGGCAGACAAAGCAGAGCTCAGATGCAGATTTAGAAGAGACTGTGGACACTCATGGCGAAGCTGTTATCCCAGTATCGCCCACACCTGCCAAGACTGAGCTGACTGAGACAGAGGCACCAAGGGTTTTTGCACCGCCTCTGCTGTCTAATGATTCGGATGCACCTAGCGGCACAGGTCTACCACCATCGCTGCCCAACAACTCTAATGACTATAGCGGCACAGGTCTACCCGGTGAGGACAACCGGCAAGTCGAGATGGAACCCCAAACAGCTTTGCAGCATTCCGGCAGAACTCGCAACCCACCGGTCTACCTCAAAGACTATATACATCAGCGGTTCTCAACCTGTGGGTCGCGACCCCATTTGGGGTCGAACGACCATTTCACGGGGGTTGCCAAACAACGCAGTCCACCATTTTTTTTACCCTTTTCCTTAGCTGTGCTATTCCCTCTGCTTGGCGGCAGCCTGCATGCACGAACTTTACCAAATGTGCCCTGCAGGAGGCGTGTGAAGAGCACAGGCACAGAGCAAGGCCCAGCCCTCCCCAGGGACTCATTTCAGATTTACGCCGCAAAAGTTTTTCTCGCGCAGAGGAGAGAGGAAAAACAATTGCGGAACACTCGGGAATCCCTTGCAAGGCACCAGGTACCTTGGTGCTTATTTCCTAATGCCTTCCCCCCCCCCCTGTGTTTTCTGCTCCACCCCGAATTCGCCTCCCTTCCACTCTCCTTAAGCAGCCATTTCTGGTCTTAATACAGCCCTCAGTCTGTCTCCCTTTCCACACCCCCTAAAAGTCTTCATTCAGGCAGGCTTCCAGAGGTCGGCTGGCAGGATGCAGGTAAACCCTCCCCCCTGTCCTGCTGCCTCCCACGGCACCGCTCCACGTCCCGTGCCTCCGTGCCTCAAGCCCCCGTGTCACAGAACTGCTGGCGTTATGCTTGGGCGGAAGACTTTTTCTTTTACAAATGGGGCGGGTGGGCAGGCAGGACCACGCCCACCGAGTCGCCGCCTCTCCATTGCCCTCTGCCAGCCGGTTCTGTCGCCAGACCTCACAGCTGACAAGCCCAGGAGTTCGGCGCTGTGGCGGCCTCCCCTTCGCCCTCCGCACCGGGCAAAGCTTTGCCTGACGTTCCAGCTGACCGGTGCAGGTCCGGGGGTCGTCAGCTGACGGGCGCAGGAGGTAGGTGCCATCGCGGCGGCCTCCTCCTGCGCCCGTCAACTGACGACCCCCGGACCTGTGCCGGTCAGCTGGAACGTCAGGCAAAGCTTTGGCCGGTGCGGAGGGCGAAGGGGAGACCGCCGCAGCGCCGAACTCCTGCGCTTGTCAGCTGGGAGGTCCGGTGACGGAGCTGGCTGGCGTGGAGGGCAGTGGGGAGGTGACGGCTCGGCGGGCGTGGTCCTGCCTGCCTGCGAATGTCGGGCCCACCCACGCCATCTGTAAAAGAAAAAAATCTTCCGCCCAAGCATAACTTTTAAGGATTTTAAGGATCTTTGAGAGGGAGAGAGAAATAGAGGGAGCTGAGCTGAGCCGGTCCTCACGGCTCCTGGTTGCCCGGCCGCCCTCCGCGCCGCGCCGGAGCCTCCCCCCACCACCCGGCCTACCTCCCTCGCCGTCGGAGGCCGCCTTGGCCCTCTGGCGCCCGGCGCAGCCCTGGGGCTGGCGGGCAGGAGCAGCTCCTTCCTGGCTCGCCGGGCTCCGGGTCTCAGAAGCGGCCAGGCGGCAGGGAAGAGGGCGAGGCGGCGGCGATGCCCGCATGTGCGTCGGAGGCCA